ATCTAACACCATCCATTTCAATGACCCACTGGCCACTTGTAACCTTCTGTACAGCAGAGCAACACCCACTTGCCAACCTTTTAAAATTTTTATTTACAATGTATGTATATTAATTATTATTATTATGCCATTTAAATTATTGTATAACCATATTTTCTCATATTAATCTCATAAGTAATAGTCAATCTAATCAATAAGTTTCGATGAACATTTCAGGGAAACTTTTTTAAATAAAAATAAAACTATGACCTATGCCCGGGGGGGGGGGGGGGGGCAAACACTTTGCACATTGGACTTTGATTCTTGATTATGTAGCTTAATTTAAACAATAATAAATAAAATAAAAACTTTTTTAAAATTGGTAATATTTAAATTAGTATTACATGGTTTGGATTAGAATTTTTAAAATCTAAGTTCAATGCGCCCAATAATAATCTTTTTTTCCCATAAAATAAAAATTATCGAAATTGAATTATTGTAATGGGTAAGCTGTGAGTTTTTCATGTAAGGAATGTTTTTGATTAAAAGTCTGTTCATGGGTAACCCCTTTTTAATAATGAATTTATTCAAATTCTTGAGATATTTTTACTATAATACTACTAATTTATATATTTCAAATGAGTTCTCTTCTTTGACCATTTATACTGTAAATTATGTATCAGTTATTTTTTCCGGAAATGTTGAAGTATCACGATCAAAATGCGAACGAGAAGTTTCAGAGTTATTTAACTTTGTGTCCTAATTTGTGACAATTGGTTCATGGCAATGGGTTTGGAAGATATGGAGGATATTTGATTTTAATTTTAGTAACCAATATTAATCTATATTCTATTAACATTTATTATTTATACAATTTGTATAGTCAAAGTAAATAATAAATACCAGATCTAATAATATTACATCTATAACATATTTCTGTAAAGTTTTTTTATGGATTAGATGTCTACTCTGCTCAGAATCTAAAATTATATACCTATTATTATTAATTACATGAATGTACTATATTTTAATGAAAATAGTTATATTTTATTGAATGCAGGTATTTAAGATGCGAAAGAAGAAGATACGGCTGTACGGTAAAAGGCAAAATGTTTACACGTGACGGGGCACAAATTGACACATCTCCAGGCGATGACCACAATCATGAACCTGCACCTCGCTATGCATTAGGTGTTCGACAGTATTTTAATAGATTGAGAGAGAGAGGTGTAGACGAAAATATTGCACCACACATAATTGTTGATCAGGAAACTCAAATGTAAGAACAATAAAAATAACTATGTAATGTATGTAAATATTTATAAATATATAATATACATCAACTAGGGAACCAGAAGCAGCAATGGAGATTGGACGACCTGCAGCCATCCGTGCAATAGCAAGAGCCAGGCGTCGTAATAGTCCACCAGTTCCTGAATCATTGAGCAATTGGCCAAATATTTTGAGCTCGATTGAATGGAGTCAAAGACTATTGTACGTCAACGGTTCACTAGATTCATTTTACCAAGGACCTTTGGAAGTGCTAAGAGATGATGGTACAGTTCGTTTTGTTGGCATCGCCTTTACAAACTTAGCATTTCTACAACGGATGAATGTACATCTTCGGGCTGTTCGAACTGTGTGCATGGACGGGACGTTTCAAGTTCGACCAAGACAACCTCCCGACATTGAACAACTATTTACCATTCAAATAGTCTTCAATGATGTGGTTAGTATATAGCTAAAACAATAAAAAAATTATCAATTAATGTGAATATATTTAATTTATTTTTAAGGCAATACCAATTGTTCATGCACTTTTGATTGACCGGCAGGCAGAATCATACTGTCGAGTTCTGCAGTATTTTAGGAATGATTTGCAACTGAATTTGAACTATGACCAGCTTCAAATTATCACAGATTTTGAGCAAGGATTAAGAAATGCCATTGCCCGAGTACTTCCTGAAGCCAACAATACTGGATGTTGGTTTCATTTTGTTCAAGTGAGTAAACAGCCAATAAATCTATATTATCAATAAATAAACACCGCAGCGGTAAAATACAGCTGTACACAATTTACCGTCACTGATACAGTGTGTGGAAACATTAATAATTTAAAATGTTAAAAACTAAAAAATATAAATAATTTTTTTTTTATAGTGTATTATTCGTTACGTGAGGACACACAACCTGGCTAGAATTCTTAGAGCTAATGAAAATGCAAGAAGAATCTTACGCATGGTAAATTTTTGGTAAAAATTAATTTATAGATTGGACTAGTGGTGGCATGAAGTTTATATTTTCTATAAATGAGTTTCAGTAAAATATTAAAATGTATGTACAATTTCAATATCATGGCTTTTATTAAGTATATGAACATGATTATATCTTATTGAAAATTAAATTAAATTAAGGATACCTATAATTGATACGACAAAATAACCGGATAGATATGTGTAAAAGAGATTATTTTGTCACCCACAAAATTGTATCATAAAGGAACTGATTCATAAGATACCTTTTCACATCGCCACTGGTTCAGACACCAAACAGAAAATAAAAAATTAGTCAAAATGTTAAAAATATATACATTTTAATTAAACTAAAAACAATTTTACTGTGCAAGACTTAAATATGAATAAAACATTGACTCAAATAAAAATTAAGTAGTAATTTAATTTTTAATATTATAATGTATTTAATTTCTGCACGTCTAAATCAAATTAACAATACTTCATGTTTTTATAGCAACATTAAACTCTCTCACTCCCTACACTTTCTGTATTTTATCAAAGCTGGGAATTAACGAGTTAATTAGTCAAAAGTTAAGTTATTTTTAACTTATTAACTTAACTTACTAGTTCGCTGTTCTAATTAACATAACTGTAACTTAACTCATTTGTATCCACGTTAACTTAAAATTTACTTATATTATTTATAATATTCACAATTAAGTTAATTTTGAATATTGAATTTCATATTATCCAAATATTATTTATGTAAGTTATAAGTTTGTAGAATATAAAAAATATTATTAGAAAAAAAAAATATATCTATTTACGAAGAATTTCCTACATATTTTTATGAACGAAAACTAATATGTCGTATTAACTAGGTACTAATTAATAATAATATAGGGGTAACAATGTAGCATAATATTTATTTAGTCGCCAATATAAAGACATCAATAGCTACAAGCCCACAAAGTCCCGATTCATAATACATACTTATTATTTATTAATATTTAATACCTACGATTATTATTGTATGATCAATCGTGAAATTGTGACCATTTCCATTTATACATTATGTTTTATATTATAATTTTATTTCAAAAATACCTACCTATATAATAATGGTGTAAATATTTTTAAAAAATAGTGTATTTTACATAATATATACCATGTATACTATACAATACACGTTGTTATTAAAATTTAATAGATATTTAGAATAACATAGTTGTAAAATACAAATGTTATACCTTATATATATATATAAAATATCTACCACTATTAAAAGTAAAAATAACAGTCGTTTTTTTATAAGTAATTTATTTTTTGAATTATAAAATGTGTTAAACAATACACAACACATTTACACACAATATTTATTTTTTAATGAACCCGGCATGAAATTTGAATAGAATTCTAAAATGATACAGCCCTACAGGTCTTAAATTATACATACATAATAATACATATCGCCATAGATTGATACTTTGATAGGTATACAAGTGATTATACATTTATACTTTATTTTAATAACTTTTTAATGCATTAAAAAAAATTAAATTAGCTTAACTTATTAATTGAAGTTAAGTTAACAATATTTGTTAACTTAATTTAAACTTAATTGATGTATTGAAAATGTCTAACTTAACTTTTAATTTAATTGAAAAAATAACACTTAACTAAACTTAACAGAGTTAAAAAATATCATTAATTTGTATTTTATCCAACCTTGAATTTTATCATAATAATTAAAAGTAAGTAATTGTTTTTCCAGCTCATGGCATTACCTCATTTGCCGGCCAATGAAATTAGATTCGACCGTGGTCTCTTTTCAATTCAATTAGGGTTTCATGTTGTACACGAATTGGGTTAGTTGTCTCATATAAATTCATTAATCTGATATCTATAAATATTATATTATTGTTTATTTAAATATAATTAATTAAATAGTGAGAGATTACAACCTTGGAGAGGAGCTGCATGATTTGATGCAATATTTTCAAAGGTATTGGATGGACACTGTAGGTCCACTAAGATTTACAGTGTATCGACTCCAATACAGAACTAATAATTTCATTGAGTCGTACCACGCTTCTCTTCTGAGACTAATGGGCCAACATCCATCTCTGTATCAATTTTATGGTAACATTGATTACTCTGAAAGAAATATAAATTTATAACAGTCATAAAGAATGAAAAACCTGGTATTTATTTTTTAATTACAATTTTAGAACACTTGAGAACAGTTGAAGAGCGTTCAAGGAACGATTTGGCCAGTGCAGTAAATGGACAACAAGTAAGGCTTTACAGTTTGTGTAAAAATATTAAATTTAGTGGACATAAGATGTCACTTTGTTTTTCTCTCAGACCCACAAGCAAAATAGCACATTTGCATTCAGCAGAATCAATCTTTTCTACTTGTGTGTTGTTAGCATTAATATAAGCATGACTTATTATTGACTTATTATCAAAACTTAAGTTAATAACTATATTTTATAAACTGGATTTTTTTTTACAATATTTTAATTTTTCCAAGATATATGAGAATTTAAAAATTATTGTAATATTTTAAATAGTCATAACAAAAAAGGCTGAAAGTACAATACTGATTCTGTTAACCACAAATTTACTATGTTGCACATATGTTATGTTAACTTTGATTGATTCTAAAAAATCATTAGTATTTATTAAATAAAATAGGTACATAATGAATTATGATCTATAGATAAATGTATAACCAACATGTATTTTATTTGTAATTAACAGGTTAGACGAAGGACTTATAGAATGTATCCGAGAAATAATGCAATTATAAGCAATGGATGGGCAAATGTTGAAAATGGAACTTACAATCTGCAAGATTTCTTAAGAAATGTTTCATATACCAGTGAACAAATCTTAAGAAACGAGATTGGTGAACCGGATTTTCAACCCAGTAATTTACTATCAAAACTTAATAATTTATAAATTTATTATATTTACTTTATTAACTTTTTGCTTATAGTACTTGCTATTCAAGGGTTAAATGCTATACCTCCAGGACAATTACCACAGAGGCCCCCTCAACTGTTATTGAGACCGATGCCAGCACCACCATTAATACGACCGGCCGTACAACCACCAATAGCTGAAGTGGTACCGGTGGCTATACAACCAGCAGAGGCGGTACAACTACCGATGGTTGAAGTACCTGCAATAGCTGTACAAAATGTTAGAAACCAGAGGGGTGTGCGTAGAAGAGGTACATTTACAACTTTAAAATAACTCAAAATTAAAATCCTTATTTAATACATTATTTTATACTTTAGGAAATCGTGGTAATCGTGTACAAGGCAACGGTAGAGGACGTTTGAATGCGAGAGTGGGATGGGCAGAATTTTTTGCAAATGTTGAAGACGGTAATATTATGACCTGCAACTAATAAAAGTTTTTTATATAATTTCTTCTATTAGTAAAATAAATATTGCTTTTAGAACTAGAACCACGACTTCCCCCGCCTGTGCGGAATCAACATCCGATTCCTGCCAATGAAAGTAAGATAAAACAATTATTGAAATTTTTGACTTTTTAAAATTATAATTAATAATGATTTATTTTTTCAGTGATTTTAGAAGTATGCATTATTTGTTATGAAGAAGTGGTAACAGTCACTATAGTGCCATGTCGCCACACATTTTGCAATACTTGCATTACACGTTTGATACAGAATGGGTTTAATACATGTCCATTATGTAGAGGCAATATTGAAGTGTACGAGGGATATGTATGATAATATGTGATAATATGATAATATTACTATTCGATTTTATATATTTTTTATTGTTAATTTGAGAGATTTTTTTAAGTTATTAGTTATATCATCAAGTTAATTTTATTTTTGTCAGAATTTATAAAAAATGTTATTGCATTATTTTCATTATAATAAATATCTATATAAAAATGAATGTGTGTCTGTCTGTGTGTACATATTACCATTTATATATTATTTTGAGATTTCCAATGGAATTTTTGTATATAAATGGTTGCCATGTTAATATGTAAACCATATTATTCATATAGAGTTGGCATTTTTAATGGGGAACAAAGTGTAACAGGATCAGCCAGTAATATATAAACTTTTAATAAGAATAAAAAGTATTCACAAATATTGAATGATCATCTACTTTGTTGTTGTTGACTGCTGTTATTATACTAAAACTAAATTAGTAATCACTGAAATGTGAAACAAATGAGATCATATGAAAAATGATTACTTATAGACTCAAGAGAATTAATTACCTACATGTTTAACCCAGGTTTTAGACACTTAATTAATCATTTTCAGAATTATCTTATGAAGAATTGAAAACTAACTGTTTATATTTTATACCATGACAAAATAAATGTTTGTTCTGTCATGGTTTATACAATATTTCCACAAATACTATGAATGATGAATCTAATTTTTTTCAATATAAGATATGGTAATACGAAAATACAAAACTCAAAATTATTGTAAAAATTTGAGGCCCCCCATGGCCCATACATACTTGTGAGGCCCTCCGGTAGTTGCGGCACTGCCTATAACCGTGCCGACGACAGACATCAGCTGCTGCCATAGTGTTACATATATTTAGCCATAGTGGTATATATTTTGGAATAAAGACTTTGTGGTACAAAAGTTCAAAATTTGATCCAATGTAAATGGAATTATATTCCGAAAAACAATTGTTAGAATAGTGGTCTTTTCCGATTTACATTTGTTACAACTGACTTTTATTCCATAAAAGATTTGTTCCTATCGACATTTGTTCCGAAAAATAATAATATCAATGAACATTTGTTCCACAAACCATTTGTCCCAATAGAGTTTTGGAACAAATGTCCATTGGCACAATTATGTTGGGAACAAATATCCATAAGCATAATTATATTTTGGAACAAATGTTCATTGGCACAGATTTTTTTTGGAACAAAAATATGACCACCTTGAAAGTGTGATAGTTGTATTATACGTGTAATATTATTTTACGTAAACATTTTTTAATTTAAAAAAAAAAATTCAATAATGTTTACTGACTGTATAAAAAAAATATATAATATCCTAAAACGTATATAATATATACATTTAAATTATTTTTGTTGCTTTTACATCTAGTAATGCGGCTTCACTAGTAATTAAATGTATGTTTCTATGACATAAATGCTATATTGTTTAGTTTGTTAAAGTTTTTTTATTTAGCTTTGAATAATATAATAAGTAATTTAGATTTCTATATTATATATGTTATACTAATGTACTTAGGTAAAATTATAGATAATGAATTATTGGCATTCATTTGATTATTGCTGTGAACAAATTTAATACTATGAAGAACAGATTAAAACATTAACAAAGATGATTGACGAAAATAAAACTAAATAGAGATATGAATATAAAGATCTTAAAAAAAAAATTAAAAACCTAGATAGTTTACAAATTCTATAACAATTTTCTAGAATAAAAAAAATGGAGTCACAAAATGTATTAATATGGGAAGAAATTAACACAATTTTAAAACAACTTAAGGAAAATAACCGTGGTATGAATAACGACGAAGCAACTTTCAAAAAGAAAATGAGAGATATCAATGCCAAAATCCAGAACACGTCATTGAAAGCTACCCGGGAAAAGTTGAATGAAGAAAAACATTTATTAATCAACGATTATAAAAATTTATTATATATAACATACGTCTGTGAAAAAAATATACAAAAAGGATTAAATGTGTTATATGATAAATTAAACGATATATAGTCGCTGATAATAAAATCGATATAAATAAATTATTTTGTTATTATTTATTATTTTTATCTTGTAATTATATGTCGAATGATATTGTAGTAAATTATAACCTATATCATTCTTATGTATATAATATCTGTCGAAGGATAATATCGACCTGTGAGCGATTCTGAAGCTTCAATTTCCAATTGAACATCCACTGCTGAGGCTGTGGCTGAATCGTTCTGTTTCGAAGTATCGATAACTATAATTGGAGCGTTTGTCAGAAAAGTAGAAGGACTCAATATCGGGTTACGAATACTTTTTTCATAGTACGATTCTTGAAACGATGTATACATATTATATAATAAGGTGAAATTATTTTTAGTAAAATCTAAATTCAAATTATCGTATGGATAAGCTATAGAGTTCAGAAATACTTTAACGTTTGTTAAATTACAGTGATCAAATATACTACAATCTTTTGTTAGCAAATTTTTGCGTCCTTTTTGTAATCCAATTATGATAAATCGTGGTTTTTCTAATTTTGAAGCAGTTTTCAAATTCCATACAACTTTTTTAGTGGTTCCGAGTTCAGGATATTCAAACTTTTCAAAAGATCTAAAAGGAATAAATAGACTTTTTTCTTTTTCTATAAGTTTCAATAATTTCAACCTTTCTTCATCGTCGACCGTTATATGTGGGACCTTCCAGACTATTTTATTTAAGGTGATTTTACCTTCAGTAGCAGTTGCACATAGATATGATTCATATAATTCATTCCATTTATAATTCAGGTAAATATAATTACTATAAACATAGTTTGATTTCAGTAATAGTTTCTCAATCTTATGATTATTCAAACATTTCAGATTTTGAAGATATTTATAAACATGTTTACGTTATAGAGTAAGCAAATTACTTGTTTACACACATTTGGATCACGGATGATGAAAGTACCTATGATAGTAACATAGTGTTATTGCTGTTATTAACAATATCTGGTCACATGAACATAACCACTGAGTGAGTTCATACACACACACACACACACACACACACACACACACACACACATACGTATGCACACACAAATAAATATTATATTCAACCTTGTTTATCATCATTGAATTTGTTTTCATAATAGATTGTATATTCGTAAATTCATAGAAAATACCTTCCAAAGATAACGATTTACTATGAAATACAATGGGTTTAGCGTACAAATGGCAAGGTTCCAGTGGTCTTTCCAAAGGCCCCATGATACGATTGTTTACTCAATCGTTTCATGTGTCGCTAAAATAGCACATTCTTAGTAAATCTAAATTCGGTTATCCGATAGCTTCAACGTGATGAATTAAATACAGTTAATTCAAAACATATCTGTTGAGCAAAATATTTGATAAAAAATAAAAAAACTATGAATTAAAAACAAAAAAAATATTACATACTATTTTACTTGGAAAAATAATAAAAACCTTATTTATCACCATATTTATATTTTTTGATATTTTTCACAAATCAATCACTGATATTATCTCAGTTTTATTTATTTTTGAAAATATAACAAAACAGTAACTATATCATAAAGTTAAAAATTAAAAAGAAAATGAAAACATTTTAAAAGAACATAGTCTCTTTGACTGATTATTATTATCAATATTTTAAGTTTTAAAACTTAAGAAACTTTAATTAAATATTATGTTAATAACATATTTTATGACTGGTTAGCTAAACTATACAAAATAATAATAATAATAAAAACGTATAATACATTTAGCTAAAAACAGAATAAATATTATACTAACGGGTGTATAAGAAGTTGCCTATAGAGACCCCTTAATAAAAAATAAAAAAAAATATTAATTAATACTATACATTTTATTACCACATATTATACTAAAGAAGAATATTATTAAATAAGAAAAAAACTACATATTATATATAATTGAAATAGAGTTGTTCGATATGATATTATAATAATTTATAACATTACCGCTTATATATTTTATGTTTTAAAGTTGTATTACGGAAAGAATGAGGAAAATTATTTCAAACCGTCAACCATCAGAATCAATAGAATGAATTGAAATTGAAAGATTTTAAAAAAAATTCTCTAAAACATTTTTGATTAAGAATATAGATTCCAGACTATACAAGTTGAATATAAACTTTTTTATTAAATAATTGTTAAAGAAAAAATAAATACTATACTAAAATTATAGGATAAAAAATACAGAAGTATTATTTATTTTCATTGATTAATTTTTCCGCTAGATGGTGCTTTTTATATCGATTGTGGATACATTAGGTTAACCAAACAGACTATTGAGGATTAGGAGATCATGTGAAATAATTAATTCGACTTAAAAAAAACTTAATTTTTTTATTTTATTTTTGAAAAAAATTAACAAAATATTAGACATAAAAAATTATTTTAAAATATCTGATGATGTTATCCATGAATTTTGACTTGAATCAAAACCTAACTATTTAACAAGCATTTTATTCCCAACTTTTTTTACAATACGTTCAATGAGAAAGGTGTTTGGAAAATCAGTTAATTTAATTTCCTGTTCATAAAAACCACCTAAGATTATATTGTCTGATTCATCCTTTAGTTGATAAGTTACTGGATTTGTCTGTAAAACTTTTGAAAATGTAAATATTTCCGTTGTCCAATTTGGTGTATATCCTTTACTAAATATATGTTTATATTTAGATATTCTTACTTTGTCATTAACTTTAAATTTTAGATTATATAATGTATCATTTAATTGTGTATTAAATTTATTATTGTTTGTATCCATTCGAGCTTCATTCGGTGTACATTTGATTGTTCTATGTTTTGTATTATTATAATTTTGTGTAATTTTTGATAGTGTATTATACCAATTCCATGTACCAGTAGCAGTAAAATGTCTATATATATTATTCTTAATAGATCTAATCACGCGTTCCGCGATTGAGCATTTAATAACACTGTATGAACTGAAATGTCTAATTTTGTATTTTTTCATTAAATC